ATCTTTATACTCTATTCCAAATATATTCAAGAGCTTGACGTTGAATCATTTCATCATCAAAACGACAAAGTGCAGTTAATAAACGAATACTTTCTTCTTGTGTATCAGCTTTACGATAAAGCTAAAAATACAATAAATTTATTAATGGTTTCATTTGATAAGTTTCTTTTCGTTAAAATTATAATATTTGCATGCGTTGGGAATATTATGAACTGTGGTTCTGTTTCGTAAGAGATTTCACTTATGGGAAGGATTCGATGAGACTCAAAAGAACTCTTAGAAAAAGTTTGAACTTTTTTTCCTATTCTTAATTAAATGATAAAAAACTTAAATAAAACTTCATAGAAATATTTTTAACATTGAATGTCAACATGACTTCTATTACGAATATCTTTGCATAAAAAAGAAGTCTTGATTAGATAGAAAGTTCTAAATGTTTAAAACTTTAGATATATTACTGATTTAAGTTGTTCGAATATTTCTTGATTTCCTGTTTTAGCAACAGTTAAATAAATTCCTGCACGAATATTTGGATTAATTGAATGATGATTTTGATTATTACTATTCAATAATATTTGAAAACGTTTATGTGCTTCTTCACGTGTTTTATTATGTCCATTAATACCCATTTGTATTAATATTAGATCACGAAGCATAGCTGCTTGTAAACCTTCATTTGGTAATGGATCCCATTCTAATTTATTATAAATATTTGATAAAAGATCACATATATATGTTTGAAAATATTTTTTTATATTATCAATATGAGCATAATCGATTATTGAATTAAGATCAGTTAATTGTTTTAATATAGATTTCCAAACAGTTAAATTATCTTCATGTTTATATGCATGACGAAGTAATCTTAAATAATCAACATAATTAATATGACCAGAACGTGCTAATGCATAAACATCTGTTTGAATACCAAAACGATCTTGAGGAGAAAGTGTATGATCTTGTATACCTGGTATTAAAGCATCAAGCATCGATTGAGGATAATTAACACGATAGATACCAACACTAAAATTTTTAAAAAAAACTATATATAATCTTGAATAAAGAAACGTTTATTTCCATTAAAATGATATATATATATATATATATGGCTTTTCCAAACGTAACGCTAGTTTTGTTGAGTATCGAATAGGCGGTATATATGCTCTTCGCTGAAGGTCCTTTTGGGCTACAGAGAGCACCCCAAAGGTAAAGGTAAGGTTGGTGAGGGGTAATTGATCATGCTGAGTCGAATGGTCGTATTTATTTTCAGTTGCAAGGTAATTTGAAACCACTATATCGAGATTTCCGAAATGTCGCCTCTTCACTATACATAGCAGAAAAATTTGAAATGTGTAAATTTCAGATCTATTCTTCGGTTATCCAATGACAATTAGCCAAAATCGGGTGTCTCAAGAAAACTCTTATAACTTTCGATGGAAATAAGATAGAAACATCGGCTTTGCATAGATCGAAAGAGCCCAACTTTTCCTATCGAATAATCATGTTAAAATTCAATGAGAAATCTCTTTAGAATTTTTCTTTTCCGTTCTCACTTAAAGGTTGTTTATGTTTTCGAAAGTGAAAACTATTATAAAGTTCCAATAAGCGTTGAATATTATTTTTTTGAAAATATACTTAATGCGCTCTTGTATTCTAATTATATAGTACGTGCAAATGCTTTAATTCATGAGATATTACTTTCTACGATAAATCAAATGATTCCTTGTTTTTAATATGTAAAATTTACCTAAATAAATTTAATTTAATCCAATCTGTTTCTGTTACTTTTTCAAGTACAAATTCTTGTTTTTTTTCTTCATCTAAATATAATTGATGAATAGGTTCATTTGGATTTGATTTCGTACAAATATTTATTGGAATTTTCCATTTTAATTTATCATCTATTGTTCCATCAGCTAGAAAACGTGTTTGTTCAATTGTTAATAATCGATTATTTCCTTGTTGTTCTTGTCTTACCTTTATTTAAGAGACAAAAAAAAAAATAATTAAAATAAAAAACAATATATAAATATCTGAACATACATTAAGAAGTGGATAACCCATTTGTTTTGTCCATGTTGAAAGTATATCAGATAAATGAGGTCGTTTTGATGTTTGAGATAAATGTGACCAAAGATTTTCTGTTATTGTATTTTTATATGCATATTCAGCAAGATAATTTTGTAAACCACTACGAAATGCTTCATCACCAATATATGCATGAAGTAAACGGATTACACTTGAACCTAAATACAACTATTGTTTTTGGTTTTTTTTTTAAGAAAAAAAAAAAAACAAAACCTTTTTCATAAGTAATATCATCAAATATTTCATTAATATCAGTTGGTTTTTTAATAGGTATTTCAATTGGATGACTATTATAAAGTGCATCTGGAATCATACATGTAGCTAATATATCAGATACAAATTGTGTCCAAATATCATATTCAGGATAAACATGATCAATAGCAAGAAATTGAATCCAAGTAGCAAAACTTAAAAGAAAAAAACAAATAATAAAAAAAATCAAATATTTTATTAATACTTATCTTCATTAAGCCATAAATCATTCCACCATTCCATTGTCTATATAGAAAATTTTTTCATAAAACAATTATAAAAAAAATTATAAATAACTTACAACTAAATTTCCAAACCATTGATGTGCTAATTCATGAGCAACAATAAGAGCAACTTCTTGTTTAGTTTCTTGTGTTGTATTTTGACTATCGACAAGTAAATATGTTTCATGAGATGTTATTAAACTATACAATTCAAAATATATAAAAATTTTACACAAATATTTTAATTACCCCCAATTTTCCATAGCACCTAAAAACAAAACAAAGAAAGAAAAATAATTCATTTAAATAAAATAATTAATTTATTCTTTACCAGAACCAAAATCAGCTATTGCAATCAAATCAACTTTACTTAATGGATATTTAATACCAAAATATTCAGCATAGAATGGAAGAATTTTAGCAGTTGTCTACATAGATTATTTCATAAATATAGATTTACAAAAATGAAAAGAAAACTAACATGTAAAGCAAATAATCCTCGTTCTTTTTTACCAACTGGTGTATAAACACGAATCTGTACATTATTCGAATCATGTGTTTCGACATAATCATAAGCTCCAATAACATAAGCAACTAAATAAGTTGACATAATTGGTGTTGTATCAAATTCATAAATACATGTATGATCTCCATCATTTCGTTGTGATTTTATTGGCTAAAATGATATTAATAATGAATAATGAAATTTTTTTTTTTCTTTTTTCAAATACCATATTACTCAATGTGGTTAAATGTTTTGGTGCTCGAATACTAATAGTAAATTTTGCTTTAAATAATGGTTCATCAAAACAAGGAAAAGCTTGACGAGCATAACCAGGCTAATAAAAAAAAACATATTGAAAATAAAAATTAAAAAAAAAATAAACAACTTACTTCAAATTGTGTACATGCACCTATTTGATTATTATCTTTTGTTCGATAAAATCCATGAAGTTGCTCACTTATAATACCATTAAATTCTATATGTAGACGACCATTTCCTGGCTAAGAAAAAAAAACAAATCAATTAAATTCAATTAATATTTAAATAAGATGAAAATTCTTGTACATTAATTGTTTGAGTAAATTTAATTGTTACTTGTTCATATCCTTCATTGAATTCAGGTAAACCATTAACAATAGAAGAAACTGAATTATTTTCTTGATATTGAACTTTTGTTATATTTAAAGCAACACTATTTAATATAATTTTATTTATATTTTCATTGACCTAAACATTCATACTTTTCTTTTAAAAAACATTGTTTTGTTTTTTATTATCATACTTGAATATCGATGTCAACAGTGCCTTGAAAAAGATATTGTTCAAGTTGACCAACATCTATATATAATTGGTAATGTGATGGAATAACAGTTGTTGGTAAACGATGAGTTAATTCGGAAATTGATGTATCAGTTATATTCGTCATAGATTTATTTAAATATGATATATTATCAGGTGGATAAGAACATGTTTCTTTCTTTCTTCCAATTAATAACAGATGTATGTCTCACTAATGACATCTATATTATTTTTTACTTCTATGAATAAATTCAAAAGATTTTCATATAATATACTGAAGAAAGAACAAATCAATATTATTATAATATATTTATTAACTAGCAGCTCTCATTTTATTGATAATACGTCTAGGAAGAGGTCTGTTGCTAGAGAGACCAATCTGATGTTGTATGACTATTTAAGATTGACTCAAGAATGTTCATAAAATATTGATCTGTCATAAAAGAAAAACCTCACACGATCATTTTTATCCCTATTCAATATTAGTGTGAATGGACAGAGAGAACTGATTTCTAGATGTATAAATAAGACTATTGATGATGCTAATTTTAACATTCATTTCGTGAGTAAATATTTTTATTTTTGTACGAAAAAAAAAAGATTAAACAAATTTCTGATCTTAGAAAAAGAATCAAAATACTGATATATCACGACAACTTTTTTTTTACATGAAATAATCTAAATGAAAAAAATTACTAGCGAAATTTGATCTTAGAATCAATCTAACTTGATTTGATGTACATTGTAAAAATGCATTTTTATTGATGATATAAATTAGACAAGTCAACAATAATCATAATTGTTTATTCTAAATATGAGAATAAGAATAATAATTCACTTTTCTTTTTTTGGAAAATAAATAAATTATATGTTGTTACTATACACTTTATAATCAACATAAAAATATTGGATTCTACACTGTCACAAAAGAAAAATAAAGTTCTTTCTAAAACTGAATATTTACAAAAAATTACAAAAATTTTCTCAAAAAATAGAGTAGTAGGACATAAATCATATGAAAATAAGTCGAATAATATTGGGATATTTTGTAACAAAAAAAAATCATATGTATTCAGAAAGAAAAGACTTTGGCGCATCTCTCCCGATGATATGGATATGTATGAGCGAAAAGAATATCAACACTCCATCATTCATCTGATCAGCTGTTTTTTTCTATCATAGAGATGGTAATAGATCTTTACACTTCAACGAAGTGATTGTTGTCGAATGGAATACGAACAAGAAAAAGTTCGATTTTCACTTAAATAGTCTTCTAATCGGTAGTCGAATAACTTAAAATCATTGTGATAGATATTTTTCAAACGACACATAAGTTGATCGGGCAAGTTATTATACATCGATTGATATTGTTTTCTTGTTCGACCGGTCGAAAAACGACGA